TTAGAGTTAATGTATTGGAAAGAAATAGGACAAGTTTACGTGCGCACATGGGCGCCCATAGGGGGGGGGCCCTGAGATTCTGCGTCAATTTCCTTTTTATTTGTCAAAATTAAACTTTAGCACATTTATAAGAGTAGGTACATGCCCTACACTTTCAGTTTTATTGCCACACAAACACAGAAATGTGACAAACTTAGACCATTTGGTTTTGAAACCCTGTGTTCGGCCCAGATTTGCCTGGAAACATCATAAATCTATCCTTTTTAACCGGTACTGAATTATGGGTTGTTTCGTTATTTGCTTTTTACAGTTATTACAAGAGCAAATATTTTATTGCTAACGTTTACGTCCAAAAATTCATTCCGTTTTCACTTTTTATCTGTGGTGAAGTGACATGTAAAGACGAACAGTTGTTAAACCGGCGTTTTGTTGACTATAATTTTTATTATTTATTTATTTCAAAATTCAAGCGTAAGTACTCTTGATTAAATTTTAAATTTAATAATTTATTTAAAAACAGAGAAATATGGATATCTGAAATTTCTTCAAGAAAAAAATTACAAATACTGATGATGATACTTCAGCTAATAAGAAGTATAAAATAAGTGGTGTTATTTATTACTACTGCTGGCGGTTTTTCAGAGTAGCCATCGACTTCGAGTGGAAATTTCGGTTGCTCCAGAACTGTTTCACGAGTGGGCGTGCGAACTACAACACAGATAGCATAGAAAATTATTTTGACACTTTTATTCCATACCTGGATCATTTCATTCTTTCCTTAACGACACGATTTTCCGAAACAAAAGTGTCATCATGCTCATTATTTTCTTTACATCCAAAGAATATACATAACTTAAAACCAAGTTGCCTTAAAGGGTTGGGCGAATTTTACACCACTGACAATTTTTATCGGACGAAATCCAAAATTGGCAGGATTTTGTAAAAATAAAAAACCTTGACAGTAGTATTTCAGAGAGAGAGTTAATGCCGAAGAAATATCTGTTGGTAGAGTAACTGACGATTTTGGCCAAGAAAAAAGGGATTAGCAATTTGTTTTTGATGAATTTTATATTTTTATAACTTTTTAATTTTAATATTTTACACTGTTTTGCTAATAATAAGAATAATGATGTTGTAGGGTTATTTGCGATAGATTTGATTAACGTAGTTGATGATTAAAATATATATTTATAATAGTAAAGATTTCTATCATTATATTATTTATATATACAAGAACAGAGTATATTACAAAAATTTCAGGGTGGCCCCCCCTGAGAAAGGTTTCTATGGGCGCCCATGCGTGCGCACACCACAGCCTCCCTTTCTTCTCTAAACAGTTTGGGATCATACCATAGTATCATAAATAATAATTGACAAAGAGTTCGCAAAGGAATCCAACGGAAATATTTATACAATTGTTTACAACTACCAGTACAAATAATTCTTTCATTTTCAACTGAAAAGCGTATAACTATATTAAGTACTAGATATTATGGAGTTAGGGGTAATCAAATAGATTTGGGTTGCAGTCAACATAATTGTCACTGATACATAAGACATGGAAACGAATGATTTATTTCCAAATCCAAATATACTGCATTTACAGTAAACAGTATCACTGCTAATTTTCTCTGGTTGCCCGACAATAGCTACTTGTAGTCAATATCCACGTAATGTAATAAAATACTGGAATCTAATTGTTTGAGACAACAACCTATTTTTACCCGAGTGTTCTTTATCAGTTTGAATATTTTATATAAAAAAATTACATATTAAGCTGCAATTTTAGTAGGACTGCAGCGAGTCAACGAGCCGCCTTTACTCCGCCAATGCAAAGAAAATATCATTTTATTATCCTTTGTAAAAATAATTCCTTTCTGTAAAACACATTTAAATTTGGTACTCCGTATTTCGTTCACAATTCACCATTTAACAATGGAAATTAACAATGCAATATTTGGATTCTACAGTTTTTAGGAAAAATGAATGACTGCAATGAGTTTTATCAAATGTAGATTTTATATAAAAATAAAGAAAAATAAGTCTCTTTATTTTAAAAATATTTAGAAAAAATCGAATCAAAACATCAATAACTTAACATTCATTGTTCTGTTCGTTATACTTAGTTAACTACTTCACCACGAGATTTCTAATATCGTTTCAATTTTTCATATATTTCACATTATGAGTCCTTGCCGTATTACTTGTTCTGCGCGTGAAGTTGATTAAGAAATCTTAATCTTAATTATCAGTTATAATATATTAAGTGCATCGCAATGTTATCGATAATTTTGAGCAACAATAACTCGAATGCTTGTTGCATTGAAAACGCACGAGTGCTTTAGCACGAGTGCATTTTTCTTAGGCAACAAGCATGAGAGATTATTGTTGTTCAAAATTATCGATTTCATTGTGATGCACGCAATATATTCAACAGATTATTGCAAGAACAAACATTTTAAAAATAATTTTATAATGATTTACGAAGTAGTTTGGTGTGCGATACTATGGCGACGCAAGTAAATAAGAACAGCCATTTTGCAAAATTTGTGTGGGTTTAAAAAACCATGTCCAATTTTCGTTTTGGTCGTAACACGCCAAAAGAAATTGATGATTCTATTACAAACATTACGCCGCTAAATACGAAGAACTCACGAAATTCAATCTGGAGGCAATTTGAGAAGTTTTGCGGTGAACGCAAATATGTTTTTGATGGAAACACTTCCACGGAAAAACTAGCATTCATCCTCAAAGATTGGGGGTACAATATGAAAAAAGTCGATGGTAATGACTACAAAGAAGCAGTAATAAAAACGATGTGGAATGTAACGGCAAAGCAGTTGCAAGAACTGTATTTCAATAAATTTGGTATAAAGTTTGATCCTTTTGTTGACCTGGAATTCAAGGGTAGTAGAAATGCACGCGACGCAAAACGCCGGAACCTACAAATACAACCGGAAAAACGCAAAACTAGTTCCTCAATTTTGACTCTAGAAGAATACAACAAGATTCTAAAGATTTATAACGAAGACACGCCAGATGGTTTACAGAAAATGTTTTTTTATGTGGCTGGATTAGAATTAGCTTGGAGGGGATGTGAAGGTGTTAACGTTACTATCAAACATTTTAAGGAAGAAAGTGATAATTGTGGTTTGCCTACGGGGCGAATAGAATACAATTGTATTTTTTCCAAAACAGCTCAAGGAGGTAGCCATAAATTAACAGACAGCAAATGGCTTGCAACAAACACCACAGATCCTAGAATTTGCCCTGTTAGGTAATTAAATACTGTTTCAAATACAAAATAATAATTATTTTATTATTTAAGGCTCTACAAAAAAATGCTGAGCAAGAGAGGTAAACATATAACCACCGATCGTTTATTTTTAACGCCAAATCCTGCATGGAGAGAACCTAGTTCTGTAGGATGGTTCAAAAATTCACCCGTTGGAAGGAATGAAATGGGGAAATGGACAAGAACCGCCGCAGAAGAAATAGGCATCGACATAAAGAAAAAGAAGATTAGTAATCATTCATTACGGTCAACTGCAGTGTCGCAACTTGCAAAAGCGGGAGTCGGTGAAGAACAGCTTATAAAGATTACCGGTCATGCCAATACTTTCTCCATCAAACCATACCTTCAGCTCGATGGAGATCATCATTATCAAATGATTGACAAATTACGCGCCAACTCAACGGCTATGGAAGAGTCTAATAACAAATCCACAAATTGCGCACCGTCTGCTTTGGTACAAATGTCTAAAAATATAGTTACTACTTCACCAAGCACACAAACCCCTGTAAATTACTACAACTGTACCATAATTAATTACAATTCTTAGTTTCATAATTAAATATTTGGTTAGTAACCTCTTGTTTTTTTTTGCAATTAACTGGTACTTGCTTATCTTATAGTTGGCACATCTGGCTAGTGATAATTATCGGTAGTGGTAATTGCACAGTGTGCAATTATCACGTAATTGTATGCTGATTGGTTGAATTTACAAATATTGACGCGTTTGATTGGTCAGTTGACATCATGTGACATGTGAGTGCAATAATCTCTGAAAAATGTATCTATTATTATCTGTAATTATTGCTGTGGAAATATAATTTCCACAAATACGAATACAGGTATGCAGCATTATGAATTTTGTTGACTAAAATTTTAAAGAAAATAAGTTCAATCATTTCCGAGAAATCATTAAATAAAAATGTTACTGTTAAGTAAAAAATTAAATTATTTGTTTAACGAGCAACAAATCTATTTGAAATTTAAATTTGTAAAATTTCGAATCTAATAATTTGAAACTCAATCTTTCTTAAAAAAAAAATCGAAAATATTTGTAACATCTATAACAACAGAAAAAGAGTTGCACAAATTACAGTTGTTTTTTTTTTAATTTCAGATTCATCAAAATTGTTAAGTCTCTTTTTTATTTATTTCACATTATTCTTATTGTTCTGCGCGTGAAGTTGAATACGATTTCTTTCCCAACCCCAAACCTAACGCTGAAAAGCAAAACAGCAAGGAAGTACGTAAAAACGGATAACGGTACTGTATCGATTTCTGCTTGGACATGCGGCAAATCAGCACTGAATCTAAACTATGTTTCGCTTCGCCCAAGTGCGACATGCGGCAAATCTGCACCAAACAGTAGAGGCGAAAATCCCTCGGACGCGATCTGGATATGCGGCAAACCAGTTCTAAGGTGACGCCATGTGAGAACAGCAGTCGTATTATTATTTTGATCATTTTTGATGTTCATTATTTGTTTTAAAAGAGCAGATTTTTTTACTTAATGTTTTTTTGCTGGCGTCATCTGTGGAGCAGGAATTATTCTACATTACAGAGTCCACACACGTACACCTCCAACTGGCGAATAGTTCGAACGATCATCAAGCGATGTCGCCGCTACAACAACATCTGCATCTATTTTGAAATAGATTGGCGCCCAAGTAAAGCAACATGAAACTGGATAGTTTGTCAGTCGCGCATCAACTTGTGTAATGTAAAGAGCGCGAAGTACAATTTCAAACATGTACACTGCCTCCACGACCCACGTCTAGCTTTAAATCGAATCTCTTTTTTTAATTTTATAGTATTTTATAATGATAACATCCGACCCGAAACGACCGATCTGAACTTTACCTCGTACAAAAAAAAATCGAAAATGTGTCAGTGCAAATTGTGTGTAGTGTGTGCTTTTTTGTGCATCTGTGTATATACAGTGACCACTTTTAACGTCGACAGTTTTAATTACGCTTCTTACGACACCCCGTTTCCCGATGGCCACGGTTCCATGTTCGGGTTCAGCGTGGCCCTGCACAGGGAAAGGAAAAACGGCTGGTAAGCATCGCAAAAAACAAGGAACTCATTTTCATAACCTGTTGCCTAAAATAGCGAATGAGACCAGAGTTAAATTTAAAACAGCAATCGCGCTAATCAAATTTTTTATTGCCGGTTCGAATCGCGTTATGCTGCCTTCGCAATTTCAATTTTATCGTTGTCAACACTCACCAAATTCAATGAAGCTTCGTTGACCTCTTCGCCTTCTGCTAAACACATGTCCACCCTTAGGGAACACGTGTTTGGCGATTTTGCGCCGGAAGTGGACCAGTGGCGTCGGGACGGTGGCGTTGTGCCAACGGGATATTTTTAGAGATTTGACGGGAAGTTGACTCGATACAACAATCAAGCGATAAATGGTTGCTGAAACGGAAAATTTGAGCAATTAGAGACTCTTCAAGTCGGGCGAGTGCGATTTTTCCTTACTTTTGACCTATCAAAGGTGATAAATGTGGTTTTATTATGTGTAACCTTGTGCTATTGCCAATATTTACGATGTGTGGTAATGCCGCCTCCGGCTGAACGAGGCGTTTAAGATATCATCTGTTGTTGTTATTTAATATCGAACTTTCTTTTTTTGGCACAAATTCGCACTCTCACTGAACAAATTAAAGAAATCGTTCTTCGTATTTTGGACTGTTTTGTTTTTGACGTTTGACGCTTTTCCGGTTAGGTGTTATGATGTTCATGAAGTTATTTTTCAGATCGAGTATTGAGATAATGGAGACATAGCTATTTAAAATTCTGGTGGAAATTCTTCTTAGTGGCCGAAGTTCAGACAAAAATGTTGAATATCTCAAACGTTACCTGTCACCTACACAAAAATTCATATCGCTGATAATGGGATAATGTTAACTTTTACCTTGTTTTAAAACATTGCTCATGATGTGTTTAATGTGGAATTTAAAAAAGCATAAAGTAGTGTGATTTGTTTAGCAGAGGATTAACATTCATAAACAGCTTCATGAAAAAGGTGAGAAGTGATTCACTGAGGTGATTCACCCAGTATATAATTAGACAGGATGTTAAACGTGTCAGAGTATGCAAGATAAAAAAAAAAGATAGTTTTAGGATATTTATGACTAACTCCAAGTTTATAAAAATAAAAAAAAGATTTTATATACTTTATAAAAATAGTACCAACCATTATTCTAAGAAGACTACGCCAAGAATGAACCAAGTTGTTGCGCTTCGCAACTGTTTAGTATAAGCAAAACTTTAATTTGTTTGTTTTGTCTATATATAAGTCAGAATCTGTGTCTATTTTTGAAATAAGAAAAAACGAATGTCGCTATTAATTTTAACATAATATTTATGTCGTTGTGTGATTATACTTTATATATTTTAAACGATAAAAAAATTGTTTGCACAATTTTGGGGAGTACTTGTGACAAGTTACAAGAACTTTTGATTGTACGAATAAAATAGTTAAGATTTATAAACGTTAATATACCGGATGTTTCACCACATATAGCAGATTAAATTACTGCAAAATTATCACACACGAGATAATAAATTTTTTAAGAGTTCGCCAAAAAAATTATAAACTTCATCAAATTGTTGTTGATTTCACAAGAAACGGAACCTTTTTTTCTATACATGTGTTAAAATATTTGAAACCACAAGATACAATGTGGCTTATTGTACATAGTAATTGGGTTTAAAATTGTATAAAATAACATAGTCCTACACAAGTATTTTATGATTTCGTGTTGAGTTTTTACCGGAGACATCCAAAGTTTTGGAAAAAAAGTCAAAATTATAAAACAACAACATTTTGCAATTTTAATCTAAAATGTGCAAAATATGATCAGTCTATACTTGTAATTTACCACTGAATTAATATTTTTTAGATTTTCTTATACATACAGGAAGAATAAAAAAAAAATGAATCAGTCAATTTATTTTATTGAATAAATCAAGAATTACAAAACTGAATACTCTGAAATCTTGCAGACGTTTTAAAGTTATTGTAAGCATTGTGAATCAGCTTACAAAAATTTTAGTTCCAAAATTGAGACAGATATTATCACTAATCCAGATGCATTTTGGTCTTTTGTTTAAAGTAGAAAAGGACAAACACGAATTCCTGGATGTATGCTGTATAATGATTGTGAACTTTCTGAGCCTCAAGAAATCGTTGATGCGTTTGCAAATTATTTTAATAGTGTCTATATTGATCTTCTGCTTCCAATGTTCTACCGTTTATGGAAATATCCGGCAATTCTAACTCTCCTATTTGTATTAATAATTTTCCTGAATGTGAAGTTCTCGCAGCCCTAAAACGTTCTAAAAATTCTATGACCACACAATTTTTGCAGGACCGTTGTCTAAATTATTTAATCTTATATTAGTTACGAAACAATTTCCTTCTATGTTGTGTTTAAGAAAGGTAATGTCAATGAGATTCAAAACTACAGGCCTATTTCTTTATCGTCTAACTTCGCAAACATTTTTGAGTCAGTTTTATATAAATATATTTATTTCTGAATTAGTTCGTATATATCACCTTTATAACATGGGTTTGTTAAGAAAAGATCTACAGTTACCAATCTGGCCTGTTTTACTCAATATGTCTCAGAAGTAATCGATAGCAGAAGTCAAGTTGATGTAATTTATACTGATTTTCAGAAGGTTTTCGACACAATAGATTTCTTTATTTTGCAAAAAAAACTACGTCATTATGGTTTCACCGATTCTCTAATTACCCTTATTAAGTCATACTTATTTGATCGAGAAACAGTTGTAAGATGTCGCAATCACTATTCTTCTCCATTTGTCCCAACATCCGGAGTCCCACAGGGTTCTAACTTAGCACCATTATTATTTTTAATCTTTATAAATGATATTGTTGATGTGATATCTTCAGAAAAGTTATTATTTGCGGATGATCTGAAGCTTTATAGAGAAATCATTTCAGCAAAGGACTGTGAGATCCTTCAAGCCGATGTTAATAGTTTCATCAACTGGTGTATTCAGAACCGTCTTTTCTTCAATTATTCTAAATGTTACAGTATGAGTTTCATCAGAAAACAAAACCACGTGTTTTATTCTTACAAAATTGAAGATACTCCTCTAAATCGCTCCTCGCACATAAAAGATCTTGGCATTTCTTTCGATCAAAAATTAACTTTTGCTGATCACATTGGCGAGATTGTAACCACACGTTTAAAATGTACGGCTTCATATATAGATATTGTAGAGACTTTACTAATATAGATGCTCTATTTAAACTGTTCTTCGCTGTATACTATCTTCAAAACCATAATTATCCGCAGAGAGGGTACGACCAGTCGCTGCTACTTTCTAAATTCAATTTTAATTCTTTAAAGACACGGCGTGTGATTCTAACAATCAAATTTTTGGTTAATTTAGTTAAGGATCAAATTGACTGCTCATATTTTTTTGAAAAACTTAATTTTCTTGTGCCAAGAACGAATTCGCATCAGTCGTTTACATTTTATTGTGGTACTAGTAGAACCAATATTTTGCGAAAGTCACCTGTTTCTAATATGTGTAATATAATTATTTAATATAATTTCTTTTTGTTGTGATATTCATTTTGATTCATGTCAGCATGTTTGTAATTGTGTTATTCTTAATTTTGGTATTTAGGATTGCTAATACATATATTATAATTTCTTCATGTACCTACTAAGTATACTAGTTTTAGTTTCCATTTTTATATATTTTTATTTTTAACCAATCACTTTATATTGTTCTATTTTTTATATTTCCTGCAATTGGGTTTTCCTGTTGGAAATAAACGAATTATTATTATTATTACTATTATATCTAGACTCCGATATTCTCGATCTGCGTTCTTGCTTATCTATATCCTTATCTCTTACACTCAGTTCTTCTTTCACACTCCTTCCCATTTCTCTCATTTCTTTTCTTTTGTCTCCCCTTGACACTCCCACACATATTCTTGTGATGGTGTCTCTTCAAATTTCTCCCAGTTTTCTCCTTGTACCCATGTCTCTACTAGCCCCACCACATCAAATTTTCCCACGTAGCCCTAGAACTTTTCCTTTTTTTCGCAACCCTTGTACATTCCAAAACAGTACCTTCAGCCCCTTTTCTCCTAATTTTGTACCAGCTTCCCTTCCAGTTTATTTAATTGATTAAATTAGTAACGGCTCACTTCATTTTCCAGAAAATTTTGGGAATACAATACTGTTATTTTTCAATTTCCATTTTACACTAAATAAAATAAAAAGTGAAATGGAGAAAGGAGATAGGCGGGGCTAAATTTAGCTTTGTTCTAGTTTTATGAGCAAGCGGTAGCCCCGCCCACCCACCCCTTCTTCGTTGCAGTTTCTACTCTTAATATTGTTCAGTCCTATCTTAGCAAGTTTTAGCCTCTCCCACTCACCCTTTTTTTTTCTTAGAGGATATATCATTTACCAAAATCGATCTTATATTAACAAGAACTATTCCCACCCACCCGCCCTCTATTTTCTTAGATGTTATGTCGTTTGCCACAATTAGTCTTATCCTAGCAAGTTCTAGCTCCTCCCACCCTCCCTTTATTTTCTTAGAGGGTATGTCTTTTACCAAACTTAATCATATCTTAGAAGATACTAGCCCAGGCGCGGATCCAGGGGGGGAGGCAATGGCTGCAATTGCCCCCCCCCCCCTCCCCCGACACACGACCGAGGTACTTTATTTTGACCAATTTCAAAATTTTGAAATCGCATTTCATTTTGTAAATACAGTAGCTACAACCTCTATAATCCGAATTCACGATTATCCGAACATCCAGTAAGCCGAACACGGGCTATTTCAAGTCGATGCTTCTTCTGAACTTGGAAACACGCACCTACTTGCACAAATGACGCAAGATCTTTCTACATATGTTGTATGGAGTATTTTGAAATTTTTAAAAATTGCTATATTTCAATGCACTGAATTAATTATGTAATTCTGGAAACAAGGTTTGAAGTTATCGAAGAAATGAGGCCCGAATTCTACAAGAAAAGGTATTTAGGTAAAAT